GTCATGATTATCTGGATCAGGTGTTTTTAATTAGGGTTGAATCTAAACTCTGCAGGGCTCCGGCCCTCCAGGAACTGAGTTTGACACCCCGGGTGTAAAGCATAACACTGACAGCAATAAAAAAAAAAAAAGTTGAGCTGCAATCCAAAGGTGCATTTTCATGCATTCATGTTTAGATATTGTCTGGAACTTAATATCTATGAGACATTATGTGACACAATATTTATAGTTGTATGTAGCCATATAGATGAAGGTCATTCTCAGGTGCGTACTTACTGCTGATATTATTACACTGAATTGAGACACATTTGATGCACTTGATTACAGCTGCTGAAGATTCAGCTTGGAATAAATTACATTTTTAATATATATTTTAGATTATAGATTTAGAGTACATTTTTGGATTTCTTTAGATTTAGTTTATGATTCTTATGTCCTTTGTTCATCATCATAATCTCCACAAATGAATGCAACTTTAATTTTGAAGGCTAAATTCAATCGGCAGAAGAAAAAAGCTAAATGTAGACTATAAACGAACTACACCCCAGTTAAAAAAAAAAAAAATAGATGAGTTTACCTTTTCAGGGTGATGATGTTTAATGACAACATCTGTAGTCCCATTACTTGTTAGGAACCATCTTTTTCAAGGCAAGTAAAAGCTTTTAAAAAAGCACAAGGGGTATTTAATATTTTTAAATAAAATGTCAAAATATCTTAGTTTGTGTTAACCACAGTCCTATTTTCAGGCATTTAACCACCCACTGACTTCAGGAGCAATGGACCCAGAAGTGTTCAAATGTTAACTCGTCTCTAGGTTTTGGGCATCGAAAATATGCCATCCCTTCAGCACTCTATTATAATGTATGATTTAATTATAACAAGGGACACAAACATTAATCAGCTATATATTCAAAATATAAGCATATAAATTCCACTTTACTGTGACATGGATGAAATAATGTTGCACTAGCAACAAATAACTATTGGTATTTGATTCTTTGTTAGGCTGAATCCTTGTATTTACTATTGGTGGTAATAGTTTAAGATGGGGCCACTGAAAAACCCATATAGGTTGAGCACTACTCTGAATATTGAGAGAATGTGTCCCCTTATTGTGGTGCCACATTGTCTATCGTAGTCTAGGGAATTTGTACGATGAACGGTTTTTGTACTGTTGAGTTACCAAAAACCTGGCCTCTGAAGCAAAACAAGCTGAGATCCACTGTATAACGTAACATTTTTAAAATGCTGAATGTTTGTTTAAAACATTCCTTATTCAAAGACTGAGTATTTTTCCACTCTAGTCCAAAAAGAGGGACTACTGTACTCCTGATACACACACCTGTTGAAATCAACTCAGTGTCTGTCTTTAGTCTCACGCAGGGAAACTCCAGACTTGCTTTGGAAATCCCTTTAATGATCTTTGTCCAGAAGTTCCCATATGTTTTCAGTTCTGCTGAATTCTTTTTTATGAATACATCAATTCCCGAAACCTCAAGTCTGCTCATCTGAGAATGCTAATGCAATCCAGCCCTCTGATTCACATGAAGACAACACCCAAAACAGACAGACACAGACACAGACACACACACACACACACACACACAAAAAGAGGGACTACTGTACTCCTGAAACACACACCTGTTGAAATCAACTCAGTGTCTGTCTTTAGTCTCATGCAGGGAAACTCCAGACTTGCTTTGGAAATCCCTTTAATGATCTTTGTCCAGAAGTTCCCATATGTTTTCAGTTCTGCTGAATTCTTTTTTATGAATACATCAATTCCCGAAACCTCAAGTCTGCTCATCTGAGAATGCTAATGCAATCCAGCCCTCTGATTCACATGAAGACAACACCCAAAACAGACAGCAGAGCCGCGACACACACACACACACACACACACACACACACACACACACACACAACAACAACTCTACTTCCCTTACTAAACCACAGACTCATATACAAGCATCACGATGTGGAACCCGGGGCACATATTTTAACTTTGAGAGTATTTTAACAATGACATTTCTTTACAATATACACTAGTGAAAAAGAAGTGTGCTTAATTGTATTGATGTGCACTTGTAGTGTACTTCAAATCGTAAAAGTATATATTTAAAAAGGCTGTACTCACAGATAATATAATATTAATGAAATAAAAGTGTACTTAAAGAGAGTACACTTTCATTACAATGTTTAACACACTTAAATGCACTTTAAAATAATTAAAATGAAAAATTGTAAAGTACATTTTAAATTATTGTTTTATTTATCTTTTGTTGTTTTAAAGAAGTTAACTTATTTTGATGTGTTGGCTAACAAAGCAGATGTAAAGTACCTGAATCTAATTTTAAATGTAGTGTGTTATTTGATAAAACATTTAATGATAATATATTTTAAATGTATTCAATTGCGTCGTCATCATTACAAAAGTGTAATTACAAATATATTTCAATACATGGCATACGAGTTTCAATGGAAATCAAATTATAGTATGTTTTAGGTTACCATAAATGCTTGTCAGTACATTCTGCAGTACACTTTATTTGAAAGAAAATAGAAGTAATTATGAAATATCATATAAAGATGTACGTAAGCGGGTCAAAAACACTAAAGTTCAGCTAACTATAATACATAATGCAGTAACATGCAATTAGGTGCCCAAAAACATTACAGTCACTTCATACTTCAGTATTTTATTTTAATTATATTATATTTCATAAATATGTTCATATTTCATAATAAGTACTCTTTTTTATCTGTTTCCCAAAGATATATGCTCCCATCCTCTATGGAATACAACCCAAATGTATTCAATTGCGTCGTCATCATTACAAAAGTGTAATTACAAATATATTTCAATACATGGCATACGAGTTTCAATGGAAATCAAATTATAGTATGTTTTAGGTTACCATAAATGCTTGTCAGTACATTCTGCAGTACACTTTATTTGAAAGAAAATAGAAGTAATTATGAAATATCATATAAAGATGTACGTAAGCGGGTCAAAAACACTAAAGTTCAGCTAACTATAATACATAATGCAGTAACATGCAATTAGGTGCCCAAAAACATTACAGTCACTTCATACTTCAGTATTTTATTTTAATTATATTATATTTCATAAATATGTTCATATTTCATAATAAGTACTCTTTTTTAAAAATCTTTTTTATTGGTTTCCCAAAGATATATGCTCCCATCCTCTATGGAATACAACCCATATCCAAAAATACAAGAAAAAAAAAACATTCTATTTGGAATATCATTCAAAAATTCCCTAGCAACCACTGAATGCTATAGTATGTAACCGCATAGCAACACACTATCGACCTGTTTTGCATGGACAAGCAACAGATTTTAAAAATCTTGAAATAGATGATTTACAAATATGGCTCTATACTCAAGAACATGTGTCTGTTTTGCACTGTTTTGAACTATGAATCATGGCAATAACAAATAAACATTCCTCAATCCATTCAAAGGCATCTGCACTTTCTTTAGATATTTATAGATGCACTGTAAATCATCGGATTGTTTTCTTTATGATAACTGAATGAAAACAAACATATTCAGGGTTCTTTAAGGACTGAATTTGCAGGGTTGTATGGGGTTGTTTGGGGTAATCGGATAGGAGGGCGCGTTTGAGGCAGACAGTTTGGCCCCTAATTTTTGTCACATCAGGATTGTGCACCCCAGTAAGTGTTTCTAAATCAGCTACATAAACCCTAAAACAAAGGTCTCTTTAAGGCGTGATGTCACTGTGTCAGAGTGACAGAGCGGGCGAAACAAGCGTCCATTCAGAGCAGAAACACGAAGGTCAGTCCAGATCAGGGTCGGTGTGAGACGGAGTCTGGCGGGTCCTGACCTCCAGCACCGCCCTCTTTTCTCTTCACGTCTTCCCCTTCAGGGCCTCTCCTCACTGGGCCCGTGAGCCCAGCTCGCCCCCTCTGAGTCCCGCCTGGGGCGGCGCGGCCTCTGACTCGGGAGCATCTATCACTGCTCCGGGACCCTAATCAGGGCCAAAGAGGGGTGGACGTGACACCCGGGGTCGAGTCCTACTCTGTAAACATCCGAACGGTTTCCTTAAAAAGGACTGTCCGAGAGGGATATCCGCTACTCTAAAAAAAGATCCTATCCGTCATTTGATTCATTAATTACTCCTCTTAACTACCCCGGTGATCTATCAATAGCTCTAATTAGTCTGTTAGCGTAACTGTGGTGGATGGCTGCAGCACGTGGCGGGGCAACAAAATTTGGAGTAATGCTGCCTTGTTACCAGTTTTTAGCTTTTAGTATTTTAGTATCATTAATAATTTATTATACGGCCCAATGCCATCCACAG